CCCAGGACCCTGTGCCCAGCGTCCATGCTGACTGATGGTTAAACAATGTGATTGTCTCCTCCCGGATGTCTGTGTCACTGCTTGTGTTATTTCAGTCTCCCCCAATACCCAGCCAGTGCTCCCTCTTCCCAGCTAAATGGCTACCAGAATTGTATGGCTTAATCCAGATAGCTGCAGGGCCTATCCAGCTGGGGTGTCAGGACCCAGAGTTTACAAAGCCTGGGTGACTAGTATAAAATTACAAACAATGCCCCAGGGACACCAGGTAGGGGTTTAGGGTCCCTATGGCCCAGGTTCTGACACCCGTGTGAGATTGCATCTGGGTGTGGGTGGGCCTGAGCTCCAGAAGGAGCCTTATATAGCGCAGTCTAATTTCTAAATGGGGAGGCTGAGGCCCACTTCCAAGACATTTACTGCACGTGTACCTCTGGGCACCTTATCCCTCCCCCTCAGGCTTGTGCTGTGCTGTCATGAAGACCAGGGCCGTGGCCAGGCCCTCCACACTCGTGTAGTCACGTGCACACACTTCGAGTCTTTGTGTTGGGTGGAGACGCACAGTCCTTGCCTGTGTCCCCCAATTCCTGACTGTCCCCCCTACTCCATTCCCCCCCCCCGCCGTCCCCTAGCCTCCCTCTCCCGGGCACTGAGAAGCTCTGCTCCCTTGGGGTTACGTGTCCGAGATGGCCTCTCTTCCAAGGCTGGCGGCACATCAGGGACCTCCTAGCTGGCGCCCGTGGGGTTTCACATTCCCAGGTCGCATTGCCTGGCTCCTGCCCGTCAGGGCGCTGCATTAAAACGTGTTCCAGGGCCTCATCCCAACTGGGACGCCTCCTCCTCGCTGGCGCCAGGCTCACGGGTGCGCGCGTTTGTGTCCCGGTTTTGCATCAGCAGCCCCAGGGCGGGCCTGGCGGGGTTGCCCTTCACCCTGAGCCCGAGCCCGGGTAGGCTGCGCCCCGCCCTCCTCCCCGTACTTCCTCCCAGCTTGTCCCCAACAGCATCGGCTTGGCCGTCCGGTTCCCAACTCATTGTGGATCGCAGAAACCCCCATGTGGGCGTCTAGAGGGCCAGCGTGGCCCGGTCCGGTGCGCGGAAAAACCGCTGAGGGTGGAAGCCGCTCCTCGGTGCGGGCGCCTCAGCCTCTGCCGCCCCCTGGTGCCCGCGCCAAGACTGCGCGCCAACCCCACCGGGTGAGCTGAATAATCCCGGTCCCTTAGACGTCTCTGCACGCCACCTCTCCCGTCACTCGCTGAACCCCCACCCACTCCCCCCGACCCAGGAGACTGAATGGAGGAGGAAGCCCCTGATCTCATCTGTCTGGGTTCCGGTGGTGGGTAGGGCTTCTGGGGTCACCCGTGCCCTCCACCTTAATATCCAAGGCCCAGGGACTTCAGACACCCCCTTGCCTCCATCTCGGGGTCAGATGAAGAGAAGATCAGACCTAAACAGGTGCCCCCCCCATCTGCCTTGCCCGCACCCATTCCCAGCCAAGCGAGGCTGGAGCTGAGGTTTCTCTGGCGTGCTCTCTGCAGCTGGAGCCAAACCCACAGAGGTCACTCCCAGAACACCAAGAGGACTTTCCCAAAGGTCACGTTTGGTCAGATGCTCTGAGCTCCGAGGGCTTTTCTTCATGGAAACAATGCTGTACAGTTACTTGAATAACATTTATACACAGCGGCTAAGTCCCCAGGCCAATCCACAACAGCCCATTTAATTACACAGTGCTGCCAACCTATGCCATCTAACAGTTTCATGAGGGATTCGGTGCCAAGTTGCTGCTGAGGAGGCCAGGCCCACAGCCTTCTCCTGGCAGCTGACTTCTTCCTCCCCTCCAGAAAGCCAGGGCCATGCTCTAAGGAAAGGGGGAGGGGTTTAAGGGCAGGGCTGTAGAGGCGGGGTTTCGGGGTGGGGCTGGGTGTGACCAAGGCAGGTGCCCAGCCTTCTTCGGGCCTGTGGGTATTGGCAGTGTCTCCATTGGCTGGTGGGCCAGGGGGGCTTCTGGATGGGGCGGGAGGAGATGAGGAAGAGAAAGGTGGAGACTTTAGGGAACTACTTTGGGTTCGATTGGGGCAGAACATAAACTCTTGCTGGAGGGGCCAAGTTTTGAAAAGTATTGACTGCCTGTGGAAGGAGTTGAATTTGAACCCAAAAAGTCAGAGAGAGTCATTGATGGTGTTTGAAAAGGCAAGTGATGTGATGGAATTGTGCTCTGGCTTGGTGGTGGAGGAGAGGAGGGTTTGGGATGGGGCGTGCAGGGCGGTCATGTGTAGAGGGAGGGCTGTGGGGTGGGGTCTGGCCTGTCACACCCTTGGAGCTGCTTTTCAGCTTTGGGCTGATATTTTTAGCATCTGTGACTTATGGTCAAAAAAAAATAACTTGTGAAATAAAATTAAAATAACTTCCAGACCACTTATATCACTGTACCTGGGAGCACCACACAGCCACGGACTACACTGAGCTGTTCTTGCCTCCCTTGGCTGTCTTGCATGCTGAGGTTTGTAGTTTATTTTTATTTTATTTTTTCCTTTTTATCCCACCAAACACGTGATTTTTAAGAGGTCTGTAGTTTTGAATGGATCAGGGCAAGTGGGGGTGGAGATGAGATAGGGGAGGGAGTGAGTCCAAAACAAGGCTGTCAGCCTGGGCAACAAAGCAAGACTCTCTCTCTCTCTCTCTCTTTCTCCCTCTCTCTCTCTTTTGAGATAGGGTCTCAGTCTTTCACCCAGGCTGAGTGGAGTGGCAAGAACATGGTTCACCGCAGCCTCGACCTCTCTGGGTTCCAGTGATCCTCCCACCTCAGCCTCCCAAGTAGCTGGGTCTCCAGGCGTGTACCACTAATTTTTGTATTTTTTGTAGAGATGGAATTTTGCCCGGTTTCCCAGGCTACTCTCGAACTCCTGGGCTCAAGTGATCTGCCCAACTCAGCCTCCTAAAGTGCTGAGATTACAGGCATGAGCCACCACGCACAGCCCTTTTTCTCTACAAAAAATAATTTAAAAATTAGCTGGGCATGGTGGCGTGTGCTGGTAGTTGCAGCTACTCAGGAGGCTCAGACAGGAGGATCACTTAAGCCCAGGAGTTTGAGGTTACAGTGAGCTGTGCTCCTGCCACTGTACTCGAGCCTGGGTGACAGAGAGAGACCCCATCCCAAACAAACAAAACAAACCAAGGCTCCAGCTGCCTCAGAAATGAGTGTGTGTGTAGTAGCTGGTGGCCGCCTTGTTTTGCGGTTGTTTAGCGCCTTTTCCTGCAAGTTTGGTGTGGGCAGCAGGGAGCATCAGGGCCACACCGGAGCTTCCTTCTGTCCAGCTGTGCAGTTCACAGAGAGTGCACATGTGTAGGCCATAGTTATGTTTCTCAACTCAAACCTAGAGGAAGCAGAAGTCACCGTGAGTGCTGACAGTTGGCCTTCTGTTATCTTTTCTCTCATCTTCTGGGTAGTTTCATGGAACTGGCGCTGACAGTGGCCTGCCATCTCAGTAGGGGAGACCTGCCCTGCCAGTCTTTGAATAAAGACCGAGGATATCTACAGGGGCATCTCCTTTAGGGCTCTCCCCACAGGGCCAGGATGGTAGAATGAACACAGCTCTCAGCTTCAGTGAGAGCCAGTATATCACCCTGCCTGGCCTTTCCTCAGTTGGCAGGAGCAGGTCAATCCATTTTGTTTACTTTGCTCTGGCCACCCCCGCCCCCAGCCTCTTTTTTTTGGAGACAGGGCCTCACTCCCCTTGCTTAGGCTAGCATGCAGTGGTGCAATCATGGCTCACTCTAGCCTCAACTTCTCATGCTCAGGCGATTCTTCCATCTCAGCCTCCTGAGTAGCTGGGCCTACAAGTGAGCACCACTATGCCCAGCTAATATTTATATTTTTAGTAGACAGGGTTTCATGTTGCCCAGCCTGGTCTCAAACTCCTGGGCTCAAGCAATCCCCCCGCCTTGGCCTCCCAAAGTGCTGGGATTATCTGGCTCTCTTCCTGAGAAACGCCTTGCTCTAGGTTGAAGAACTTTTGGTTCCTAAGACATGGATGGTTTTCCAAAGTACAACAGATAAAGGCCACATTGGTTATATGGCAGCTCATGTAAAGGTCATGTTCCAGGTCTTGGCCACTTTACCTATAACAAGCTTGGACTCCACAGAGCCTTGGGCCAAAGAATATGGGTCATAGGGATATATCCCTTGTTGTGTTCACATCTCCCTGGGGACTGGGCTACATTGTTGGGTCAGGTAATGGGCCTGCTCCCCTCATGTAATAAGGCATACCCATATTACTAATGCAGGGTGAAATTTCTTATAATTCCATACCTTTCCAGTTGTGGCTATTTTATTAATACCTGCAGGTTTTCCTTATTTTTCGAACTGCAAATCTATAGAAACAAACAAACCCCAAACCCAACAAACATGTTTCAGAGGCATTAAGGTTAGAGAGAAGAGGAGAAATAGCACCCTGTTTGACTGGGGCTCTGGGGAGAGAGGGACTCAGGCAAAAGGGTTTGTGTGGCAGGTGGTCTAGCTTTGGGTGGGTTGAGCAGACTTAGGGCCAAAAGTGGCACTGATTCTAGCTGGCGCAGGCCTCTCTGTATTTCCAACCAGGGCTTCTTCCTTTATCTTGGCAGGGATGCTTTACTTCTGAGTTGTACATTTAACCTCAGCATCAGTTTCTTCACCTGCAAAGTGGGATAACACTTGCCCTGTAAGGGAGCAATTCCCCCTTTAGTGACGGCCTTTGCAATGGAAAGAAAAGGGAGAGACCTTTCAAGCTATCTTGGCTCCATCTCCATGTCTTGGTTATTGCTGATGTGGATGTCTGGGGCATGCTCCTGTTCCCTTTTTTTTTTTTTTTTGAGATAGAGTCTCATTCTGTTGCCTATGCTGGAGTGCAGTGGCACAATCTTGGCTCACTGCAACCTCCGCCTCCTGGGTTCAAGAGATTCTCCTGCCTCAGTCTCCTGAGTAGCTGGGATTACAGGCGCCCTCCACCACGACTGGCTAATTTTGTGTTTTTAGTAGAGATAGGAGTTTCACATGTTGGTCAGGCTGGTCTTGAACTCCTGACCTAGTGGTGTGCCTACCTCGGCCTCCCAAAGTGCTGGGATTACAGGCGTGAGCCACCACGCCCCACCTGCTCTCCCTTTTACACTTTTGATCTTAGTACTGTTAAGACTCCCTACTTACTAGTATTATTTTTTTGTTACAAATAGCAAAATCTGATTCAGAGGAGCTTAAGCCCCCAAAAGGAATTGATTGTAAAAATATTGGATTTCTTAGGATTTGAAGACAGAGTTGACACCGCAAGGAAAAGTGAGAGCAGTTCTGGGGACCTCAGGGGCTCACAGACTTTGTCCCTGGAGTGTGAACACCGACCACTCGGCAGAGCTGCTCTTGACTTCTTGACCTCTGTTGCAGTGAGCTAAGATTGCGCCACTGCACTTCAACCTGGGTGACAGAGCGAGACTCCATCTAAAGAAAGATTAAAAAAAAAAAAAAAGAAAAAAAATCACGTTTACTGAGATATAATTTAAATACGGTGAAATTTATCCCCCACAGCTGTACAATTGCTTAGGAGTTTTTTGTTGTTGTTTTTTATTTGTTTTTCTTTTGTGCTTATGAGTTTTGATGAACATATTCATTGTGTAACTACCACTACAATCAAGATAAGGAATATTTTTATTACCCCAAAAAGGTTCCTCGTGGACAGTTTTTTCAAGTCACTCCCGGTTAATGTGTATCCTTAGGGTAATAAAACAATGTTAATTCGTGAATTGGATTTAGGCTGTTTAAATATTGCTCATTGGATTGTACCTTGGAGTGGGAGAATTTACTCTGGCAATTTAGTAAAGGTTGGAGCTGCCAAGTGAAAGCAGACTGTTGGTGAATATAATTTATTGGGATTCAAAAAGATACATCAGCCAGATGGATACATGAATGCTAATCAAGGGTTGATTTAGCAAGATCTACTAAGGAAATAATATCTTGTACAGTGCTAATCACATTTTATTTTTTATAATTGAGTTTAATATGTAAAGTGATTAGAATAGTCACTGCCACTTAATACCACTTCAGAATTACCTGCTTTTCTTAATATTGGTGTAATCCTCAATTTACTTCCAAGCTCCACCTACCTTTTGGCTGGCCAGGATGAGCTGTTCAAGAGTCCTACTGGTGGGACTATCTCAGGTTTCTCTAACAATGTTATCATATTGTTATTTTACATAATCTCCTAGGGATTTGTCACTCTTTCATATTACATTGTTTTGTGGGAAAGCAGGATTCCAGAAGTTCTTAAGAGCTTTTCCAGCTCCCAGAGCTGCAATGGTAAGTTCAGATAACATGGCCAGGGGCAGGAGAAATCACCGTAGAATCTTTCTTGGTTCTCTGTATTTCCCATGAATGCTTCATAACCTTCCACCTTGATTCTTTCCCCTGCACATACCCCGATATTCAAAATAGCCCTTCTTATTAGATTGGGTTTTCCTAATTAAAAGCTGCCGTTGATCTTATACCCCAAAGTTTCTGGAATTCCTAAACCTTGTCTTTTGTCTAAACCGTTTTAACTTGAGCGCAGAGTATCTCCAGACACAGGCTGGAACAGATCTGGAGGGAAGAACACTGGGGCTGTTTGTCCTGTCATATGAGAAGGAGGATCTGGTTTTAGGACAAGCTCTTCAAGCTTGGAGAATGAATCAAAGGCGTGGAAGTGCCCTGTTTCTGTATGTACTAAGAGAAATGTGTTCTTAAAGTTTACAAGCTTTTTGTCTTGGTATTCCCCTTTGGCTCAGTTGCTAGCATTGTTAAATTGCACAAGTTGAGGGTTTGCTAAAGTTATTGCTAAATTTGTAGCTTCTGTATCTGCTAAAATTGGATGATTTTTGATGCGTCCTTTAACCTGTTTTGTAATCTCATTAATTTTCTAGTGAGCCCATTGTGCTGTTGGGATTCTGATATCCCCAAATCTAATGAGCCATGACCATACACTTTAGCTCCATTCCCACTGGCTTCTCAAATTCTTTTTCATTTTTCCAATTCTCTGGCACTTTCTCTTATAGGTGGTTCTGCTTTAACTTAAAATGAAATGAAAACTTCAGCCCCTTGGTTGCACCAGCTGCTAGCATTTTAAGTGCTCAAGAGCCACCTGTGGCTGGTGGCGGCTCGGTTGGATAGCTGGATATAGAACATTTCCCTAACAGCAGAGTGTCGTATGGGACAGCACTGCTCGAGGTATTGCTCTCTGATGATCACACCCACTTTGCAGATACTTGGACCGTCTAACTATGTATACCTTCTTTCTTCCAGATATGATGTTGAAGGCTTTCCCTCAGTTTGTATCTTTTAACAAATATTTTAGTCTTTATTGATCAATCCCTCATACATCTCTGCAACAAAAATATACATATTCATTTAATTCTTTTTTTTAATTGACAAAAATTGAATCTATGGTATACAATATGATGTATTGATTTATATGTACATTGTTTAATGGCTAAATCAAGCTCATTACCTTACTTTTTTTGTGTATTTGGTGAGAACACTTAAAATTATTCACTTAGCAATATTCAAGTACACACTATACAGTTATTAACTAGAGTCACCATGTTGTACAGTACATATCTTGAATTTGTTCCTCCTAACTGAAATTTTGTATTCATTGATGTTAGTTCTTTTTTTTTTTTTACATTCAACTCATTAAAAACATAATTAGGTCGCAGAGGTTAGGAGGTTTTGAAAAAAACAAAAAACAAAACAAAACAAAAATTTGGGTTTCTTTGGCAATCTAGCAATGCTTAGTGTATTTTTACAGCTGCTGCTAAAAGCGTAGCGAAATCATAGAAACCTCAGTGCTGCCAAAACCTATGTATTTGGTCATATTTATTTTGACTCGTGTTTTTTTGTGTATGTGCCTAACCTTTTCTCTAACTTTTTTGTAAAGAATGCTGGAGTATTCCTGAATTGTTGACCAATTCCCGTTTCCTGTTCTAAGTTTAGATTTCAGTGTTGGCCCACTAGGTGGAGATAGGCTCCTATTTCTGTAGCCTTAACGTGATTTTGAATTCCGACACTTTGCAATGGATAATCTGGCCTTTTCCTCCACAGCTTTAAAACATTTCTTTTGTGAATTCAAAACAACCCACAGTTTTAATTCTCTGTATTTATCCAATAAAAATGGATAGGAAATAAGTGCTAAATTATTTACTTACAATGCTTCCGTATGAAAATCCTCTACTCCCAAGAGGGCAGGCTTCACAACTTGACTCAATGGTGAGAAATCTGAGTTGACTCAGCTTTCTGACTATACTCTGATGGTACCATGTTAGGAGAAATTCTTGGCTAAACAGAAAATCAAGGAAGACCTCCTTCTTGTCAAACTTTAAGTTAATCTACTAGTTCTTTTCATAAAGCAAAAGGTAAAATGTTGAGGACTCTGAGTCAGCCGGCAATTAAAATGACTTTTAAACTAAGTCCCTTTTAATTATGGCTTAAGGCAATATTAAATTAATCCCCGGGTATTATAAACACGGGTTTCCCAGCCCTCTGCTGATGAGGTTTGCTTGTTTGTGTATTTCCTTCCTCTCAAAATTCTAAATAGTGAAGTCTCTCCTAGGCAATGGAGGCTCATTCATTGTCAAATTCCTTGCATGTAAAATTCTTTGGGTACAAAATAGATTGCTTCCCTCTTATTTTTCTTTTTCTTGAGATCGAGTCTCACTCTGTTGCCCAGGCTGGAGTGCAGTGGCACTATCATGGCTCAATGAACGCTTTACCTCCTAGGCTCAAGTGATCTTCTGCTTCAGCTTTCCAAGTACCTGGGACTACATTTATTTTTAATTTTTTTGTAGAGACAGGGTTTTACCATGTTGCCCTGGCTGGTCAAGGTGCCTCCCCTCCTTGGCCTCCCAAAGTGCTGGGATTATAGGTGTAGCCATCAGGCCCAGCCTGCTTCCCTCTGTTATACCAAGATGCTTGACAGTGGATATATAAAGATGACAACTTCCCTTTCTCATGTGGGGCACTGAGAGATGGGTATTTCCTAGAAGAAATATAGAATACAAAATGGGTAATTTTCTCATGGCGTTCTGCAAAAATTAAAAATTTCACAGAATACTCATCTGCATCCCTGGTTTGTAACTTTAGCTTTCTAAAACTTGCCTATATGCTAATAGGATTCAAAAAACATTTGTAATAATAATTTCAGAATTAAAACATTAAAATGAATTTAGTCCTATATCTTCTATAATAACCAATATTTCTAGAAAAGTAGGATTTAAGAGTATCTTCTGTATATTATATAACTTTATGTTTTTTTTTTTTTTTGAAACAGAGTCTCAGTCTGTTGCCTAGGCTGGGCTCATTGGGACAATTTTGGCTCACTGCAACCTCCACTTCCTGAGTTCAAGTGATTCTCCTGCTTCAGCCTCCCAAGTAGCTGGGATTACAGGTGTGTGCCACCATACCTGGCTAATTTTTCTGCTTTTAGTAGAGACACGGTTTTGCCATGTTGGTCAGGCTGGTCTGAAAATCCTGATCTTAGGTGATTGGCCCGCCTTGGCCTCCCAAAGTGCTGGGATTATGGGCGTGAGCCACCATGCTCTGCCCAATATATGACAAAACGGATACTTATGTCATTTTGAAAGTTGTCAGTGGAATGGATGGTTTACTTCTGTGTAGAAATGAGTTAACATATCATACCTGACTGTGATCCTTTGAAGGACCTGCTTACAATATTGGCTCTGTCTGGCACCTGGGAACTTGGATTTCAGTAGGGTTCCCACCATTCCCAGAACGATTAAAAATGGCTCACTACGTCTAAACTGTTTGTACAAACGATATGGTTTATGCCAAACACCTGCTTTGTTTCTGGGAGATTGGAATTTTGGTATGTATTAGGCAGAGGGTGCCTATGAGATCAGCCCTGTGCTGGTTAATTTCAGGTGTCAACTTGATGGGATTAAGGGATACTCAGATAGCTGGTAAGGCATTGTTTCTGGGTATGCCTGTGAGGGTGTTTCCAGAAGAGGTTGGCACTGGAATCAGTAGACTAAGGAAGGAAGATCTACCCTCATCCCATGTGGGTGGGCACCATTCAATCAGCGGAAGGCCTGGCTAGAACAAAAAGGCAGAAAAAAGACGAATTCACTCTCTCTCTGTTTTAGAGTAGGAAGTCCTGTATTCTCCTGCCCTTGGACATCAGATCTCCAGGTTCTCTGGCCTTTGGACTTAGGGATTTGCATCGGCAGTCCCCCACATTTTTGGTCTTGGACTCAGAGTTACTCCACCAGCTCCCCTGGTTCTCAGGCCTTTGGAGTTGGACTGAGCCATGCTACCGGCTCCCGAGTCTCAGCAGCTTGCAGATGGCCTAATGTGGAACTCCTCAGCCTCTATAGCCCAGGGAGGGAACCCCCATCATAAATCCCCTCTCATCTGTCTTCCTCTATATAGCCAATAAATTTTGTTTCTCTGAAGAAGTCTGACTAATAAAGACGCTCAAAGGCCCTAGTGCTGGTCTGTTGCGAGCTTCCTGGTAGACAGTATTTTACACATGGCACCCCCGCTCCTTGTGGGAGGAATTAAGTGTGTCCTGTATGGCTCTGGGGAGAGAGGATCCTTGGAAGCCTGCGCCTGGTTTCTCCTGGGCTTTGCTCTGTGTGCCTTTCCCTCTGCTGAGTTTGCTCTGGGTCCTTTTTCTGTAATAAATCAGAGCCCTGTGTAGGACTGCATGATGAGCCCTGTGAATCCTCCTAGGGAACCATCTCACCTGGGGTGGCTCTGAGGGCCCCCAGTATAGCTCCTCCTTTGGTGTTGGTATCTGGTAATATATAAAATCCCCACAAACCAACTTGTCATCATAATTTATGAACGTATTTCATCAAAATTTCCTGTAGTCACATTCAAGAAGGTTAGCTATGAAAGAAACACTCTATAAGCTTGGTTAAGACCCTGCATTTTTGAAAATTCATTTTAATCTAATAATATTGTAGCAACTAGAAGTTTTCCTGATTTTTTTATTTTTTGGATGTAGTTTTACTCTTGTTGCTCAGGCTGGAGTGCAATGGTGCAGTCTCCGCTAACTACAACCTCCGCCTCCTGGGTTCAAGTGATTCTCCTACCTCAGCCTCCCAGATAGCTGGGATTACAGGTGCCCACCACCATGCCCAGCTAATTTTTGTATTTTTAGTAGAGACAGCGTTTCACCATGTTGGTCAGGCTGGTCTTGAATTCCTGACTTCAGGTGATCCGCCCACCTCGGCCTCCCAAAGTGCTGGGATTACAGGCATGAGCCACCGTGCCCAGCCTCCTGATTACTATTATATAAAATTTGGACTTAGTGGCACATCATACCATGAAATGACTGAAGAAAATATGTCTTCTCTCTTGGTATTAAACATCAATTAAGATGAGTTATAAAAATCATAGTAAACTGTATTCTAAAAGCAAGCCCATGCCTGAAAAATCTGTTATACACATTTCTTTTGAAACTGGGGATGTATTTTCACTGTACAGCCCACAAGAGAGGGAGTTGGGGTGATCTGGTGAACACAGTTATGGAATAAGTGTGTATCTATAACTTACTGCAAATAGTATACAAAGAACGGTAATGTGTTATGCTGCTGGGCATGGTGGCTCAATTCTCTAATCCCAGCATTTTGGGAGGCTGTGGTGGGTGGATTGCTTGAGCTCAGAGTCCAAGACCAGCCTGGCCAACATGGTAAAACCTGGTCTACCAAAACTACAAAAAATTAGCCAGGTGTGATGGTGGGTGTCTTTACTCTCAGCTACTCTAGAGACTGAAGTGGGAGGATCACTTGAACTCTGGAAGCAGAGGTTGCAGTGAGCTGAGATCATGCCACTGCATTTCAGCCTGGGTGACAGAGACTCCAACTCTAAATAAATAAAATAATATATTATGCTATTATACCTGTTTTTAAAATTGGGATCTTATGTCGATTTCTACATTTGGGAAGCATATTCCTAATAACTGACCTGCTTTATTAGTCCTGTATTGTGTTCAGTGGCAAAGCCAGGCTTGGTGTCCATTCCATCTGGGAACACCAGGAGTAATGGTCCCACTCCTTGCTGCTGAGAGTACAGCATGAATTTGGGCACTTGCCATGAAAGAAAGCAAATGTGAGGAGATCCCCAATCAGCTGCACTCCTATTTAATAAGGAGACTTGATCACTATCAAGAAATGTACTCCTCCACGCCTGGGTAAAGCCACACTGACTCATCCCGAGGCTCTTCACTGGACCCGGTGATCACCAAACCCTTCAAGCATCAGGTGGCCATGTGACTGTCTCCTTCCTCTCAGGATGAAAAGCAGACAATAACACGTGATTTATGTTCCTCAGGAAAGGACATGGTATAAACTAGAGAACTTGGGAAAGAGGAATTACATGAATTAAAATGCAGTCACATGATGGCATGTGCCTGTGGTGCCAGCTACTGGGGAGGCTGAGAGGGAGGATTATTTGAGCCCAGGAGGTGGAGGCTCACACTCACCACCACACTCCAGCCTGGGTGACAGGGTGAGATCTTGACACACACACACACACACACACACACACACACACACACACAAATAAAGAAAAAGAATAAAGGAGAAAAAAGAAATTGTTCTTAAACACAAAATTTAAAATGAGGTTCTTTGTACCACCAAATTCTTTTTTTTTTTTTTTTCGAGACGGAGCTTTGCTCTTGTCCCCCAGGCTGGAGTGCAATGGCGTGATCTCGGCTCACTGCAACCTCCGCCTCCTGGGATCAAGACATTCTCCTGCCTCGGCCTCCCAAGTAGCTGGGATTACAGGCACATGCCACCAGGCCTCGATAATTTTTAGTAGAGATGGGGTTTTGCTATGTTGGGCAGGCTGGTCTTGAACTCCTGACCTCAGGTGATCCACCTGCCTTGGCCTCCCAAAGTGCTGGTATTACAGGTGCCACCATGCCAGGCGACTCTTAAATTTGATTCAGCTGTGCGCCTGGCCTCACCACATCCTTATATGAAGAAGAAATAAAAGAATAATTACTAATTAATTATTATTTCCTTCTCCTTATATGTTTGAAAACATCAAAGATTTTCTCCAAAATTATCAAAGCTATAAAAGTGTAAATATAATATCACCTGGTAACAAATGAATTCCTCTATGATGCAAAGAATCAATGTAAAACTATGAAGAAATATTATTCATTCACAAAAGTAACTACAAATAAAAAATCCCAACTTGTGTAATGTATTTCCAAACATCCCATTAAGAGGAAGGTGTTTATGATGTCCTAATTTTCGTTTCCTTCACTTACCCCACACTCTGCAGTGCGCAGGGGCTTCCTGGGCTACACGGGTCCCTGACAATTCTCCCACTTCCTCCCAGCAGCTCTAGCATCTTCTTTCCCCAGCCGCAGAGGCGCCCCCTTCTGATCTCTTCCGGTTGGTTGAGCTCCATCAGGCTGTTTCATCTCCAGCCTTTCTCCCTGGACAGGGGTAGGGAAAGGAGTGGTGGATTGGGAGCTCCTCCCTCCCTGCACCGCCTCATGTTCTCCACGGGGTCTGGCGCACAGTGGCCATTGCAGATACACCCTGAAGACTGAAGGAGCCAGCGCAGCACCAGATTCTGCGGGCCATCGCCCTGGCTGCACTGCTGAGCTTCCTGGAAGCCGGGCCATCAGGGGTGAGAGCTCAGCTGGGCGAGGAAGCGACCACATATGCTGTTTTCTTTCCTGTTTCTTTTCTCTCTTCCTTACTGTCCTGTGTGAGGCTCGTTTTTTGCTTTCTCTCACTCTAACAACAACAATAACCACCATTTACTGAACACCCACCCCCTAAGTGCCAAACCTCATGTCCTTCCTCGCAACACCATTTTAAGAAAGGCTTTTATTTTACTTTATTTTGAGATGGAGTCTCACTCTGTCACCTAGGCTGGAGTGCAGTGAGGCTCACTGCAATCTCCGCTCCCCGATTCAAGTGATTCTCCTGCCTCAGCCTCCGGAGTAGCTGGGATTACAGGCATCTGTCACCATGCCCGGCTAATGTTAGTATTTTTAGTAGAGACTTTCACCGTGTTGGCCAGGCTGGTCTTGAACTTCTGACCTCGTGATCTACCCACCTCGGCCTCCCAAAGTGCGGGGATTACGGGCGTGAGCCAGCACACCCGGCAGTGGGGTCTGGCTTTGAAACCAGCCTCCTCCAACCCATAATCCCTACCGCTGACCCTCCAAGCCCAGATCTCATCATGTTATTCTCCTGCTTAAGATGCTTAACAGTTTCCCATGCTCTGTGGGATAAAATGCAGACACCTGCCATCAGCACACAAGGCAGGTTACAGTGCAGCCCAGTCCACATACCCCCTGGCTCAGCCACACTGAAGAACTGCAGCTCTCCTTGCAACTTCATGCCTCTCTGCTCCTGAGCCTGCTTTTCCTGCTGGAAGTGCCATTTACCCTTTCTCATTTTGCTAACCTCAGGTAAACACCATCCCTAGGAAACTTCCTTAAATCTCATTTTTTAAAAATGCCCTCTTTATGCTCCTGAGTGGGTCCAACATATGCCTTGTGGTAGTCAGTGGTGATCAAAATAACCTATGGAAATTAAAAAAAAATACACGTGTAGCAATCTTATTTGTCTCTTTGGTTTTTGGATTTCAAGCAGCTTGCGGACAAGGTCCATGTTTTCTGAGCTACATTTTTAGTGCCTAGAGAGTGGAAATTGAAAATAAGTGTTTATTTAACAGAACAAAAATTAACATTTGAAGGTGGAATTTGCTTCACAATGCACAGACTTTTAGTTTTAGACTTTGTGAATATAATAAAAACAAAGTAACCTAGGGTAAACAAACTACATCTCTCTAGTCCTGCTCCTGTGTCATGTTTTCTGTTTTTTGCTTTGGGCTTCGTTTCTGTAGGTGAGTCATTCTCTAGCCCCTAACCTCAGTGGCGGCTCTCACCATCTGAGCCTGCTGTCATTGGATGCATCTAAGTAGAGGACTGGTTTGCCGTGTTGGGCTGGGAGGGGAAGTCCTCGCTTAGGGACCATCAACCTTGCAGTGTCATTTCGCTTCACTTCCTCTTCCGGGCTGAACCCCACGCTCTCTCATCTTTATTCTTTTACTGTAGTAATAACAGGCTTTTTCTTGTCAAGCTTTTGCTTCTTCTTATACACCAGGTAAAGCTAAGATACTATCCCGTAGGTGTTTCAAATGCAGCAACTTTTGTTTCCAGGTAAAACTACACTTGAAAATATACATTTGACAAGGGAATTTTGTGACTGTTATGTGAATGACAACACTTTTAAATTTACCATGCCTAAAATGAAAGTGTTTGGATAAAATTATATAAGGTACCATTTTTCTAAAAGTAAGAGCATAACTTGAAGTCTATAAATAGCGCTAAGACTCTGGTGGTCTTTTCATGTCCTTCACAATTTTTTTTTCACTCTGAAAGATTCTCATTTCATCCCCCCTACTTCCCTGCCTTGCTCTGTGGCTGTATCAGTATTTTTAATGTCTGGTCCTTTAGGGGTTCTGAGATCCTAACAGAGTGAGGGAGGGGGACAACTCAATATTGTTTCTACCTGGAGTCTGTGACTTGGGCAAGTTACTTTACCTCGGTGGTCAGTTCCCTGGTATGTAAAATAATTTCTTCTGTTAAATCAAGTTTAGCCTAAAGCTGCCTCCTTACATATTTTAAGTTTGCCCTAAAGGTTTCTCTGTATATCATGAACTATAACAAGTGGAGGTACAAACAGACCGTAGCCTACACTTGTGCCAGTCGCTGAGTTTTGGCCAATTATATGTAGCCAACTGTTCAAACCATGTTCAAACAAGGATACACCCAGCTATAACCAATATGTCACTTTCCTTTTTCTGACCTGGGCTGATGGGGCCAGGACAGGAGCATGGGAAAGTGTGGCTCTGTTTGGGAGCCCTTGGGGAGAAAAAGGGTGGGGCTGGGAGAGGTGGCCCCTAATCTGGTTAATACAGGGCTTGCTCATGATTCACTAGCTTCTTGCTTTTGCTTCACATTACCAATATCCTCCTTTGCCTGTCTTTTTAAACACTTTTTATTGTGAAATTGAGGATGTTTATAAAAAATGCACAAACCAATATAAACCACATGCAATGATTATCAGAGCAAACCCCACATAACTAGTAGTTAGGTACAGAAATAGACCATTGCTGGCTTCCCTGTGCCCCTCCTCAGGCCAGCAGGTAGTTTGCAAACTTTTCAGGAAGCAGGAGAATGAAGAGGCTGTTTCCTCACATTAGCCAAGGGATCAGGAATTTCAGGAATAATTAACAATGCTAGAATCTCAAAAAGCGTCAACTATGATAAGCATACACTGGCCTGGTAGTAAATGGTTACTGAAGCCTCTTCAAAGAGCAGCTTCACACGCCATGCCCAGCTCACACCTCCCTCCACTTTCATTATTCCCTGGCTGAGCCTCACTGGTACTTGACAGGTAGAGACCAAGAGAGGGTGAAATGACGTCTCCTTAGGGTACCCCTTATCTTCACCTGGGGCAGCAACATCTGTGGGGTGGACCACCTTCTCCTCATGGGCTGTGAGGGGCAGAAAATGAAGGGAACAGGATGGAAAGGGATGGGGGACACGACACTAAGCTGGGAGTCCTAACCCCGCTGTGTTTGTCCTACTCCAGGCGTCAATCCTTCTCAGTCAGAAGTGGACACAGGGAAGTCACCAGCTTCAGGTCTCCTTTAAAGCTCCAGGCCAAGCTTTCTTTTGAATCTCTGCTCTTCATCCGCAATGACTGATGGACCCTAAGACCCCTCCATCTCCTGGCTGCCTATGATCCTGCCTACGTAGCACTCAGCAAAGAGTCTGACTCAACCACTCAATCAATATGAAAAATTTAAAGTATAGTGACAAGGTGGTGCCCCAACTGGATGGTCTATATGCTCTGATCTCATCTGGGACCTTTCTTTGCACTGCATTTTTCCTGAGAAATCCCAGAGTTCAATAAATACCTGTGTGTGTCAGAGCTAGACACATCTGATGCCTTTGAGATGTGGACATGGACCTCTTATATTCTTACATGTAAACTCCTTATATCCTCAGTGCCCTAGGAATGCATATCCTGGACCTGTAATTGTAGGATACAGGTGCATTATGTGTTATGGGTGCAGATACCTCAATTTTGCATCCTACAAGAGTTAGTCTGGAGATTGTTCACTCCACTTTGGGTACTGCCCATGCCTGTAGCATGTGTCCAGGGGACAAAAATGGAAGGGGATGACTCTGATTGGATAGTGAGAGGAACACAGTGGCTCTTGGAAATTGACCAGGAATAAGTGTCCAGGGGCACACAAGGCCCAGAAGCTGCTTGTGAGAAGTCAGGGAGAAGGAAGCCAACAACTGGATGTATCAGAGAGCCACTGAGTGCTCATTATGTGTATCGGGAGTTAAGAATCCATCCTTGGGCCAGGTGCAGTGGTTCATGCCTGTAATCCCAGCACTTTGGGAGGCTGAGGTGGGCAGATCACAAGGTCAGGAGTTTGAGACCATCCTGGCCAACATAGTAAAAACCTGTCTCTCCTAAAAATACAAAAATTAGCTGGGCGTGGTGGTGGGTGGCTGTAATCCCAGCTACTCGAGAGGCTGAGGCACGAGAATCACTTGAACCTGGGCAGCGGAGGTTGCAATGAGCTGAGATTGCACCACTGCACTCCAGCCCAGGTGACAGCGTGAGACGCTGCCTATTAAAAAAAAAAAAATCATCTACACTAAAAGGAAAGCTTAGACCAAACATGTCTTCTACCTTGATTTATAGTAACTTAATATGAAATGCCAAACACATAACGATTTTGGATTGTAAAAAAAAAGACCAGTCTTTGAAAGAGTGCTGCACATATTGCTTTGCTCTTTCAACAGTGGGGGGGCATGTCTCTCTGTATGAATTATAGCTCAGGAGGCCTGACTGGTGAAGGAATGCAGACTTAGAGGCTAAGTGTCTCCTACGTGATGCGTTCAAAAGGCCAAGCAACGTTTGGTTAAGGAGTATTCGTGATGGCATGCAAAGAAAATGTTTAAAGTGTATTAGATTGTATTTATCATTTCAAATTCTGATTCTCATTTAATTTCTTAACAGTAATGCTAAAACAGGCTCTTAGTAAGTTGTATGTGGAATCAGTGCTATGTCAATATGGTCCTATAACACAGATTTGCAGTCTGCTCACCCTTGAATAGCTAAGAATAGTGGTTTCAGACGTAAATGGATGAAGACACCGAACATGATTATGGGGCAGCTCACTGAAATATAGTAAATCCGGGAGAGGTCTGTGTCCAATGGGCCACCTTATACAATACTTTGGACATAGCCATTTTCATGGCTGTCTTTCCTATGTGTAAACCACAATGAACTTCTCTATTAACTCCTACTGTTTGCCAAAGCCCTCAAGAAAAAGTGGTGAGAGACGACTTGGTATATATTCTTAACAGAAAACAACCATGTTGGGTTTTGATTATTTATAGCACTAAGGAGAAAGGTTGGAGGCCCCATGAGAGAAACCATGCATTGAATCCATGAACAGAATGGTAGAAACTGGCTTCAGTGCAACTACTCAGCAGCAGCATCCTCTTAAGAGGCTGGGGGCCTGTCCTGGAAGCAGATACTGGGACTAAAGAAACAGAAAATGCTTGTTCCAAGGCACGTTAGTCTTTCAGGCAAGGTCAGGAACCCTGTGGAGGTAAAAAACAGTTACCCCAGGTTGCTGGCGCCCTTCCTTTAAGTCCTAGGAGAGAAAAATAATGGTGAGAGGCTGAGTCTCAGGTGATAAAGAATAGAGCTGATCTGAGCTTCCTTCAGCAATGGAGCCAAGCAGTGGTCTTTCCCCAGTCATCCCAGGGCTGAGACTGAAACAGGGTTCAGTCCCAAGACTTCTTCCTAGAGGAGCCTCAGTGTCGCAATGCACAGAAAGGACTTATGTCCTCCTGTAACTCCCCCAAGGAAATCATAGCAGGAATATTACCTGTTTGTGGAGATCCCCGTTGAACTAAAATGAAAGGAGAAAAGAGAATGTATTCAGGTATTGAAACTACCTCAGGCAATTAGAGAAATGTTTCCATCACATCTTCCATTGCCCATCACTCAGTGGACGCCCTGCAGGAGCCTGAGTAACTGGGACCTCATGCATCTGGCTGCATTAGGATGCCAGCCTGAGATTCCTCTCTCCTTAGAAGCTGTCTTTGTTCCCTGACTATGTGATTTCAGTAAGCTCTCTGGAATTGCTTTTCTGTCTCAGCCCCTCATTATAGAAGAAGGGTGAGCAAATCAGGAGAAAGGCAGGTACCTGTCACCTCACAGGATTTCTCACCTTTCTTGCTCCTTCTGTGCGTGAAGATGCCCACTGCACAGATGATGAGCCCCAGCACGAAGCCCATGGCTCCCATCAGCGTCTTGCTTGGGGCAAAATCAGACTGCCTCTGGGAAGAACAGGCCCAGGCTCAATGTCACATCCAGCAGCTGCACCCCCGCTCATGTCCTGTCTGAGATCCTGGAGCCCGATACAGAATATCAGCATGAGGACATGAGTGAGGGGATACACCTTGCATAACAGGAAATTGAGAAACACCCACTCTGTCAATTCTGGAACAGAGGGTGTGACCTCAACAACAGACAAATGCAGATTCAGTTAATTGCCTCTCAGAATAACTCAGAATAAGCCAAAAGGTGACGACAGTTCCCATGTGTAAGGTCAGTTCAGGAAAGTGTCTGCATCCCTAGATTCTTGGACAAGGGGAGGAACTATGAATCCTTATGACCTCCTAGGCCAGGGACAGGCAAGTTTCCATTGCCCCCAGATTAAAATTATACTCAGGGTCTTGTATAGAAGAAAACTGGGGTCAGACATGGCCCCAGGGTATAGATACATAAGACTAGATGAGTGGACCCCAGGGCCAGAGAGTCTCCTGCTTTTCAAAGGTGGGGTATAAAGGGTCATCAGAGAGTAGCTCACTCCATCTACGGTGACAGGACTGTCCATGCTGGGGTGCTCCACTTGGCAGGTGTAGACGTCTCCCTACTGGGGGATCATTTCCAGCATTGCCAGGATCTGGAAGGTCCAGTCTCCATTACGGATCAGGTTGGTGGACATGACCCCAGCTGTTTCCTCCTGTCCATTCAGGAACCAGCGGACTTGAATGTGCCTGGGTAGAAACCTGCCATGTGACAGACAAGCAGGTTGTGGTGCTGCAGGAGTTCCTTCTTGGCGGGGGGGATGTTCACCCTAGGCTGGACTAGGAGTGGGGAAGAGGAAAGTGGAATAGCATTTGAGATTATTATTTCTTTTTTTTTTTTTAAATCTCACCCCTGGCCAAGAGATTATTATTTCTTAGACATGCCCTTTATGGAATTGATTTCTAGATATTGAAAATAGGAATGATGGCTGGGCATAGTGACTCACGCCTGTAATCCCAGCACTTTGAGGGGTCGAGGCAGGAAGATTACCTGAGGTCGGGAGTTTGAGACCAGCTTGACCAACATGGAGAAACCCTGTCTCTACTAAAAATTCAAAATTAGCTGGGCGTGGTGGCACATGCCTGTAATCCCAGCTACTCGGGAGGCTGAAGCAGGAGAGTTGCTTGAACCTGGGAGGTGGAGGTTGCGGTGAGCCCAGATCGTGCCATTGCACTCCAGCCTGGTCAGCAAGAGCGAAACTCCATCTCAAACAAGCAAACAAACAAATAAAAAACCCAAGCAAATCAACAACAACAAAAAAACCAAAAAACAAAAAAATGGAATGATGTGATTAGGCCAGTGGATCAGGGCGTTACTGAAACTATAGAAATAGTATTGAGAAGAACAGGTGACACACAAGCTTACCAGTTTGTAGCACATTTAAAAGAAATCTTATGTGTAAGTTACTCACTAACAGCCTTTGGACAAATAATATTTATTTTTTATTTTTATTTTTCGAGACTGAGTCTCGCTCTCTCGCCCAGGCTGGGGTGCAGTGGCGTGATCCTGGCTCACTGCAACCTCCGCCTCCCAGGTTCAAGCGATTCTTCTGCCTCAGCCTCCCAAATAGCTGGGATTACAGGTCCTCGTCACCATGCCCAGCTAATTTTTGTATTTTTAGTAGAGATGGGTTTTCACCATGTTGGCCAGGATGGCCTTGATCTCTTGACCTGGTGATGCTCCCACCTCGGCCTCTCAAAGTGCTGGGATTATAGGCATGAGCCACCAGCATCACCTGGCCTGGACAAAGAATATTTAATCAGTGGTGACACTACCATATCTTTTCAACTCTCTATTCTGATGCAAAGAATGAAAAATTTGCTCAAATAATTTCTTGAAATTAATATATATACATATATAAACAATGACATTCTCATGGTCTATTAATCCAATAACTATATTTCATAAATATATAAAGAAAATAAAACAAGCCTGACATGACTTATTCTGCAAGTAAGCTATGGATTTTTTGACCTTGCCCACAAAAACTCAAAATCATCCTGTTTACATAATATCCAGAGCCCCAGCATGCATGAGTAGTAGAATTTCCCTAAGTTCCTCCCCTGCACTGTGTTGTCACATCCACTGAGGTGCTCACAGATAACCAGGTGTTGGCTGTGCCTTGGCACCTCTCTATTTGTGCCCCCTCTTTTTCTGCTGCTCGCAGGTCAATTTCCATGCTACCACCTGCAGCCTTTCCTTTGGACCTCAGCCACCAGTACCCTTTCCTCCACAGAGGGCGGAAAAGGGCCAAGTGCCCCTAGAGAACAGCCCAATCGGAGGAATATTCCAAATCAGAACTTCTAGGTCCTTATTTACTCTGTTCTTGAGAACACAAATGCCCTGATGTGGGCCTGGGCCAGGTAAATAAAAAGTCTTGAACTAACCCACAACACTTACTCCCTATGGTATTCTTGCCTTGTGTCCAGGGTTATCCACATTCACAGCCTCTTCCCTCAATGTGGTTTTATTTCAGAGATACCTGGCTCTCACGCTACTTCAACCACCTCTATAAACTCGATATGCATCAGACTGGTCAACCCGTGTCTGAATCCCAACTGTGATTAAGTAAAATTTCTTCCCCATAGGTGTCCTGGAAAGCATGAAAGTCATGGGATATATGGGTGTCTGTTTCAAGGTCCCAGAATATTCCACGAGAGGAACTTTGCTCAATCTTCTTTGATAGGAGCTTGTGAGCCTGGAGCACATCAGAGACCTCCACGGGACACTGTAGCTAAGCCTTAATATCCAATGGCCTCATTTCTAATCCAGTTCAAATATATTTCACCAAGGCAAGGATTCCTGTTTGTTCTGGTTGCCTTTGCTCAATGACTTCTAGATTTGGGTGCGCATCCACACGAACGGCCAGAACTTCTATCCTCCTCCTTCCCCTTGTCTCCCCTACCCTGGTGTTCTTCTCTATTCTAATTCATGCCCTTATTAGGATTTCCCTGGACAATAATAGCAATTTCTTACCTTATCTCCCTGCCTCTGGCTCCTGCTCTCTCCAACCTACTTCACCATCTTCCAAAAACAGATTTCCAGCCTTGTCATTTTCATTTGAATATTTCTGAAGATTTTCAAAAAGCTTCAGTGTTCTGACACTTATCTACTACATGGGAATCACTTGGGAGCTGATTAAAAATATAGATCTTCAAGACCTCCCCACTCAGGGAATCTGAGTCTCTGGGCAGTGAGTCTTGGGGGATCTGTGCCTCACAGAGGGTCTCCAGGAGAGTCTTCTGAGCGGTGAAGTTGGGCACCTGTGGGCCTAGAGGAGAAACCCACACTCCTTAGGCTGGCATCAGGACTCTTTGCAATCTGGCAGCTGATTACCATGAAAAGAAAATGCTGCCATGTCGCTGATTTAGGCCTCTATGAAGTCTTAGTGACAGTTTTTGCAAATTGTATTAGTTTTCTTTGGACACCTCAGCAACATTTTGGACCCATGTCACTCTCCTCATCCTTACTCATTGTGTCCACCTTCTCACTCTTATCGGAGGACCTTCCTTCCACTTTCCCAGGAACAGAGGGATCAATGGTGTGACCTCCTGAGCCTCCTCCTCCCCCTCCCCCATTCTGTCCTCTCTCCAGGACAAAGGTCCTTGTTTAGTGCAAGGCTCACTCATGTTTTTTGGTCTCCTTTATAGGACTTCTCACTTGGCCAAATTAATACAGGAGTTATTAAGAGATTATTTTTAGGCAGCTAGAAAGGGTAGACATTCTTGGTGGAATTATCCTTTAATAAAAAGCAGCCCCAAATCACTTTTTCTCTAACAGAAAGCAGCCTGAAAACTCAGGCATAGATATACAAACTAGGAGCTTTTATATGTAAACGGTGGCAGCTGTACCTGGAAGCCTGGTAATTCAGTATGGCAGTTCCCACCCTCTTTTCCTTGTCTCCACATTTACAGGTGTCATGGCAGCCTCCAGGTTAAAGCACGTGTACAGTTATCAGCGGTGCCACCAGGTGGAGGCTACATTTGTATGATAAAAAAACTAGAGTGGGAGGGCCAGTCTTTTTGCAGGTTATGTAAATGGCACACCTGATCAAACCAATCCCCTGAGCCCTATGTAAATCAATCACTGGCTCCTCAAGCCTCTGTACAAAACCGATTGCGCTCTACCACAAACTGGAGGCCTTCTCTTGGGTGACCTTCTCAGCATTAGGAAGCTTTTTTTCTCTCTCTTCTTTTCCATGAAACTTTCTGCTCCTAAACCCACTCCCTGTGTTTTTCCATGTTGTGAATTATTTTTCGGCCATGACAAATAACCAGGGTATATACTGCAGACAATGGAGCTGTTTCATTTTGGGAGCTCATCCGGGATCTGAATCAGAATGGAAGATAGAAACATCAAAGTGGTGAGTATAGAGCAAACCTCAAATCTGTCCTTTAATTTCAAGTCTGTCTTCATACCAGTTTCCTTTCATGGGGAACTTCAACATTGCATGAGGCTGGGAAAAGTCTTGGGGCAACTGAAAATTTCTGGCCAGGGCACACCTTTGGTGTTATTCAAGGGCTTCTGGACTGAACCCAGGCCCATAGCTTGTCCAGGTGTTGGTAATGGATCTCTAGCTATCCTGTTGCAAAATTTTCCTTTCCTTTCTATCCACAGTCACTATGTCTCCTGTCCTCTCTGTGTGTGCAATGTGTGGGAAATTTTACAGTTCAGGGAAACAGTCCTGTTAGGAAAGATTGGCAAATGCCACAGGTAGTAACTCAATAAGTGTCTCGCTCTCTATCCTGTCTCTGGTGAGCACATGGTATTTCTAAGCCAACAGCATCACCTAGTGAAAATAGAAATTCTCTTCATCAGGCACCCTGTCGGTTTTTACAGTAAACACTGCAGCTTCCAAATTCTTCCTTTTCATGCCACTAGAAAAGCCTCTTCTGTGAACAGGAAAGTTCCGTCTTCATTTTAGGAGTAAAATGTCCTCCATAGTGAAACTTTAGTTCTGACACTGTCCCATCAGCAGGAAAAACTCATTAGTTTCCCATGTTTATTTCTGTCTCCAATTAGAACAGTACTTAATTAGCAAGGGGATTTTAAGTTTGGATGTTAACTGGAATCATTTTGCGAAGGGTAAATGCTTTAGCATGGGCCCTAATACCAGGCAATCTAGCACTTTGCCTCCGTTAAAGGAGCCTTGCCCAAAACAGCACAGTCTCTCTGGAGATCCATTTTTTGGGGAGCCAGGCAGATCACACAAGTTTGGGATGTCAAAGAGGATCACATAAGGTGGATAAGCTAAGGTTGTGTGGATAAAGTGTGGTTAATGCCATCAGTTTATCCAGTTCCATGGCTTGGAGGGCCACACCTACAACCATGGGTGGCACATTTAACACATTGCTGGGACCCAGGAACCAAAGAGAGAAAACAGTAGGGAGGACGCTCCCACTGTCTTCCTCTCCATCCTGGGTCACAATGAAATAATAGGGACTAAAAGGACACTTTTATTCTGACTTCTTTTTCTAGATGGGTAACAGACCAGCTTCAGCTTGCACCCCTCTGGAATGCACTCTGAAACACTGGACCTCCTTTAACCTCAGGACTTGGGAGAGAAAAGTGACTCATTTTCTTTTGCACAAGGGAATGGCATTTTTACTAAACCTTTGCAAACATTGTAAGATCAATCCAGCTTTTTAAATAGGCATATCAGGCAGGCCTATAGAAAGTAATCCCTCACAATTAGAAAGGCAATTTCCAAGGGAACCATCTGAGAATTCCCCTTGTTTGGGGTCACCGCAAGTTCCGTTCTCATTACAGAACCTTAGGCAAGCAAAGGAAGACTTATGCCAATTTTCTGACAATCTCAATAGGCATATAGAAGCTTTCCAGAATTTAACTGAGGCATTTCACCTTACATGGAAGGATGTTACACTGCTCCTAAACCAAACTCTAAACACAGCTGAAAAGCAGGCAGCTCTTCAGGAAGCAGATAAGGAAAGGATAAAGCTTATCAGTGTGCTCAGAGATTGTTTTCAGACAGAAAACCTCAAAGTTGGTTAAGCATGTAACCTTTCTAGCTCACATCCAACAGGAATTGATACAACTAGCAAAAGCCCAACCTCAGGAAACTGGACTACCTTTACTTAGCAAGAAAATTTGGTAGCAGTGAAAACTCATCTCTCTCTCCCTCCTTCCCTAAGCCAAGCTGGGAAGGGCTCTACATAGTTCTTCTTTCAACCCCCTCAGCAGTAAAAGCTACAGGTATCAATTTCTGAATACACCACACTCAAGTCAAATCCTGAAGAGCTGAGGGAGCAACCCCTGACAGCCCAGATGAATGTCCTGAATATCAGTGTGGAGAAATAGAAGATCTTAAGTCGAAAATCATAAAAGGTAAGTAAATGAGTGAGGGCTACTCATCTTACTCAGTCCCATTCCTGCCTCACCAGTAACCCTTTATCATTTCTGCTTTTCCTCTCAAAATTTACTGCCAAATATTAGAACTTCTTTTTAATGCATGTTTGTAGGGAGATTTTAATTATACACAGGACTGCATTTGTAACTCTGTAAATCCTCAAAAAGAAATGTTATATCTTGGCAAGTGAAGTTTTAAAAGGAAATTATTTACTACACCACTTTTGTGGGAATTGTTATAATCATGCTATTATTTGCAATAGAACTGTACACTGTGGCACCCACAAGGTGGAATTCTGGTTGTCAAATTTGAATTGCTGTAATGTTTTGCCTAATTACCATCTTTATGACAGGATTAATAATTGCAGGAAGGATTTCATCAAGTTTGCTTTGCTTATAGCAGGAATAATAGTTACAGGCAAGAAGTAAGGATGAAAGTTTTACTATCACTAAGTTGGTTGGAACTTTTTATTGAAGATTTGTAATATGGTGCACTCTAAGCTATGGAAAGAAGGTTATGAAGGAAGATTTATATAAGAAAGGATCTCGGATGGTAAATTATTGTCCTAAAAGGAAATGATTAGTTATTTAAAGGAACTGGTTGTTTAAAGGAAAGATGTTTAAGACAAATCAGAAAGTTGGAGTATGTTGTAAGAGGGTCTGTGAAAGTCAAGAAGTAATTTAATAATTAAAGGAAAGGAACTGCCAAGATTAACACTAAAGTTATTTTAGCCACTTAATAATGTATTTCTCCCAATTATACCACAAGTTATATAAAAAAAAGACCTAAACCTAAAATTATCCCCTAATAGCAAGTCAAGGGGGAAATAATACGTTTTTCTCAAAGGAAATGTTAACTTTTATGTAAAAGCTTCTGGTAATGTACAGCGACATCTAGTGGAGACAAATCAGTATTACAATTCATTGGTGGAACTATCAGGTATCAAACTCTATTGTAGTTTTGGTCTGTAGGACCCCTACTAATAGTGATAATCTTAATACTCATATGCTAACCCTGTATTTTAAACCTTCTTGTAAAATTTATCTCTTTTCACCTAGAGGTAATCAAACTCCAAATGGTGCTGCAAACAGAGCTAGCCACACGTGGACATGCCATTCTTCAAAGAAGCCTTAGATCAACCTCAGCAGAAGCCCCAACTGCAGTCCGCCCACACGACACCCTCTTTCAGCAGGAAATAGCCAGAAAGAATCATTGGTCCAACACCCCCTAACAGCAGTTATGATTACGTCTCCTGAGGGAGGAAACAATACAGGAGTTATTAAAAAATTATTTTTAGGCAGCTAGAAAGGATAAAAGTTCTCAGTGGAATTTTCATTTCATAAAAAGCAGCCCCCAAACATTTCTTCTCTAACAGAAAGCAGCCTGAAAGCTCAGGCATAGATGTGCAAACTAGAAGCAGCGGTACCTGGAAGCCAGGTACATCCAGTGTGGAGGCTCCCATTCTTTTCCTTGTCACCACCTTTACAGGTGTCATGGCAGCCTCCAGGTAAAACCACGTGCACAGGCATCTTGGCCATCACCAGGTGGAGGCCACATTTGCATAATGAAAGTCTAGGGTGGGATGGTCAGTCTTTTCATGGGCTATGTAAATGGCACACCTGGTCAAACCAATCCCCTGAGCCCTATGTAAATCAATCACCGCCTCCTCAAGCCTCTGTACAAAACAGATTTTGTTCCACCACAAACCGGAAAGCCTCTCTTGGGCAACCTGCTTTCTCAGCATGAGGAAGGATTTTCTCTCTCTTCTTTCCTGTCTATTACACTTTCCACTCCTTTTTAAAATTAAGATGGGGTTTCACCATGATGGCCAGGCTGGTCTTGAACTCCTGGCCTCAGGTGATCCACCCACCTCGGCCTCCAAAAGTGCTAGGATTACAGGCGTGAGCTACCGTACCCGGCTGACACTTTCCACTCCTAAACCCACTTCTCAGTGTGTCCGTGTCATGAATTCTTTCTCGGCCATGACAAAGAACCAGGGCATACACCCCAGGAAATGGATCCGTTTCAAAATCACAATGTCCAGTTCCCAGGATCCAGTTTTTTGCTCTTTCCCCTGGGTCCCCTCTCCCTGTTTGGTCTCATGAAACCCGGGCCCCTCCCCAGTTGCAGACCTCTCTACCTGCCCATCAGGCCATCCATCTGGCCCCTCAAGCACCTCAAACAAAAGTGCCTCCCTACAGATTTCTTCTGTCTGGCCCTTTGTGTCATCACCATCTCTGTAGGGCTGTTGGGTCCCCACAGGGTTGTGGGGTGTCCCTTATGCTGTGTTGAGGTGCAGGATCCAAGAAGTAGAGACAGGACACTGAAGAGCTGGTGAAGAGCATCTGGACTTGGGGGGCCACACCACCTGTGAGCAGAGATCAGCAAGAGCCCCAAATGCCCAGAAGCATCTGTATTTATTAGGTACAAGCAGGGGGCAGGGTCGTGAGTGAGGTCATCATCTATAGGCTTAGTAATAGAGCATACATAATCACGTGAGTCACAAGCGAGAGGACCACTCCATTATGTCACCTGGTTGGAGAGGTGGGCTGTGCGCAGTAGGGGGCTGTGCTGTGCACAGTAGTAGAGGGCCATGTAAAGAAAAGGGCTCCACCCCCATTAGGTCACCGAGGCAAGGAGGTGGGCTGTGTGCAACAGGTATCATGTGCAACACTTCTTATCTGGGGGCTGGAGACTTCAAAGGATTTCTAATAGAAGGATACTGTAAGCTTAATGCAGTGGGAGCTGACAGACTTGTGCTCTTCTCTTAAGATATTTATGGGAGGATGATTTGAGCTAGCACAGAAGCAAGAAAAGACTGACAGGTGTACAGCCCCTGTGTCTGGTCACACCAGAGGAGTTCTCCCTCAGTTATTTCCAGGATCTCAGGCCTGAGGCCTACTTTCCACAGGAACTGGATGCAAGGTACTACAACTCCTTTATCAGGAGGAGAGGCTCTTGCTCCCAGCCTGCCATACAGCATATGCCCTTTCAGGCAGGGACGCCACCGCCTGGGTCTTTGGTTCTCGTCCTGGTCTGGCTGTTTTCCCATGTACTGCTTCTGTTCTGTGACTGCTCTAGGCATTCCTCCTACTACAAACTACTCTATGGTTATATGGAAGGATTCTATAAATCAGCACTAAATGTGTCAGTACAGCTCTGACTACAATACCTATAGATTATATAGAACTAAGTATGCTAGATATAAATATTACGTATGATTATATAAACTAGATATATGTAGGCAGTAAGTTATATTTCACACCGTAATTCTATAAACTAATATATGATTATATATAAAGGATTATATAAAGGAAACAGCTGAGCAATAACACTATAAACTAAGGTATTCTTCAGGCACTAATTGTGCCTGGGGTCTGGACAGTTCTCTTTCTCGGTGCCCGTAAGAGGTGTTACCCACAATCTCCACCTCCGCACCACACCCCTATACTCTGTCCTGTGGCCTCCTTTCCTCTCACCCCACATGCAGTCAGCTGCCAGGCCTGATAAAGTCCCGGGGTCTGCGCCCCCATCCTCACTCCGAGCTCGCCCCAGTTCAAGTCCCATGCTCACCCTCCTGACAAGCTCCGGATGAGCTCCTCCCATCAACCCTTAGCCCAAAGTCCCCTTCCCCCACTGTACTAAAGTCCCTTAGGCCGGCCTGGCTGCCCCTACTCCCTGGTCCGGCCACCAAGGCTGCCCCGGGAGCCCTGGTCTGCAGCCCTCCCCTTGGCGCCCCGGATGAGGGGCTCCATCAGCTCGTAGTTGTGTCTGCACAGCGTGTCCACCTCGGCCCGCTACCGCTCCGTAAAGTCCTGCTGGCTGTTCAAGTACTCGGCCCGTCCCAGCTCCATCACCGCGAGGAAGTCTCCCATGCTCTGTGAAAACGTACCTACTCCTCCCGGCTGTAGATGAGCCTGTCCACAGGGCGCTGAGTCCCTTTGAACGCGCAGCATTCCTGCCGTTCCTGGTGCGTAATTCTCTGCGGGTAGGGGGTTGTTGTTGGGGGTGGCACCACCCCCTCCTCTCCGCGCTTCCCAGTATTGGCTATTTCCCAAATCTTCCCTCTCAGCGCTGGATTTAAAAATACGATTTTTTCTACTACCGAGTTCTGTGGTTCTAGGCAGGTCGCAGACCCTCTCCAGGCCTCAGTTTTTTCACCACGCAGCAGGGGATTTACTGAAAAGAATGAGGCTCACTGCTCAGGGGGCCTCAGTGATCACAGGGAGGGGCGCGCGCTGAGGGGAAAGCAGCCCGGTCTGCTGGCGGCTGGAGGAAGAGGGGGAGAGAGACATTTCACGTGGAGTCTCAGGGAGGAGCAGAATGTCACGGGGGGGGGGGGGCCCCCGGGGGGGGGAAGGGGGGGGGGGGGGGGGGGGGGGGGTTGGGGGGGGGGGGGGGGTCCCTCAGGCAGAGAAAGTAGGGGTGGGAGGAGCTGGGGACTTGGAGGGGGGAGCTGCTGCCCCTATCCAACTCCCTGCCTGACATTTCCATCCTGATATCAGTCCTGCCTCAAATGCCCCTCCTCCAGGAAGCCCTCCCTTCCTTCTTTCCCTTTCTACAGCTAGGCGCTCTCTCTTCTCTGACGGTTTCTTGAGAAATACTCAACTTGCTCTTGTTCTGCATGATGGAAATGTAGAAATACATTTCATAAAACGTCTTCGAGTTTGCCGTAGAAAAGACAATGTAGCCTGAAAGTTAATTTTCACTTTTCAAACATGACTGTAGAAAGACTTGATCTAGAAACGCCTGGAAAATATCTTAATGAAAATCACCAGAACAACCAGAAAACTAAGTGACTGGACTCCTTTAGGTTTAGAGGCATTGATGGTGTCATTTTTACATAAAAAGACGTGGCAGCCTTTTCGTCCTGCGGTTCTTCCTCGGGAGCACCACGGGCAGTGCCTGACAGGTGTATGTGTATACAGAAGTAGCTATGACCCAGCGCGTGTCTGCTTGCTTCTCTCTGAGCCTCTTCAGGCCTGATCTGTTCCTGGTGACAGAGGGGAAATTAAGGTGCTTTGATGTTCACACAGCAAACTAAGGTTTGTTTTGGACACCTGTTGCATGTTTTACAAGTTAACAACTCACGTTTATTAACCTCACCCCTCACAGAAGATGCATAGCTGGTGGCAGAGGACAGAGGAGAAGGGGTGGGGCTGGGCTCAGGGCCACCATAGACTTGGCCTGTAGTTTCCAGTGTCATTGCTAAGGCAAGATCCCAGGACTTCTGATATCTTGACAGGTCTCTTCTCTTGGTGCCTTGGGCTCCAACCCCCTACACACCCAGGCCCATCACCCCTAACCCCTCTAGTCCACCCCTCACCACTCAACTGCCCCACTCTCAGTGTGGATCCTCTCATTTTAATGTGTTAGTCTTTGTTTCTCTTCTGCATTCACAAATAAGAGAACATGTTTTAGTCAAGAGTAAGAATTTGGAAACTTTCTTTTGCAACGTTTAAATTTTTATTTTCAAAATATATTTTATTTATTACATGTATTTTGCAAAATTTCCAAGGTAAACATTAGATCCACATACAGAAATAAAAGAGTTCTTTAAGAACTAGCATTTAATTCATCACAAGAATGATCAAATTATGATAATGGAAAACAAACTTGTTTACGACCAAAGCTGCTGAGCTGAAGTGAAGAGCTGTCTACAAAAATCCCTCCAGCTGAGCCCTCTGCCCTGCAGCAGACTCTAGCCAGCATCATCTATATACGTCTATAAGAAAGGACACTGGCCAGGCACGGTGGCTCATGCCTGTAATCCCAGCATTTTTGGAGGCTACATTTAAATTTTTAGATGGAATTTTACCTGCAAAGCAAGCATAAGTCATGAGTGTGTGGTGGAATTTGAGACCTTCATTTTTTTGTATAAGGGGAACTTCATCCTGTTGTGGAAACTTTGACAACTGAGTTACCCAGAGCACAATTTGAAAGTCAATGATCTGAGTGAATGTATCTCTCACTCAGAACAGGATATATTAAAATATAACTGCAGAAGGATACAGTGGGGGGTCATATGGGTAAGAAAAGGAACATGTCACAGGTAGGGATTCCAGCCTTGCACTACGGCTTATTACTAGGTTGTCTTGGGCAAGACACAACCTTCTAACTCTCCATTTCTTGCAAAATAGCAGTAACACTATTTACCTTGCAAAATTGCTGTGAGAACTAAATGAGTTCACACATGTAAAACACATAGCACTGTATCTGTCACTGCCCGATCCGTGTTACTTAGTTCCCTTCCTCTTTTCACTGTGTGACCTGTTTGAATAGGAGCAAAATTCTAAATAAATGCATATGAGAGAGGAACTAGATCAGCTTATGAGCTACTGGAAAACCTTGAGAACTTCC